TCAATATAATGTGGTTTGCTCAAAGCCTAAAAAAAGCAAATATCACAGGCAATATTAACTTCACTTAGCAAGAATTAACTGATAAATGCACGAACGAAGTATAGAAGAAATTATGGCTGAAGGTATCCAAAAATTCTCAATGAGAAGAGCCTATTGCTGTATCATTAGGCTGACCAAATTGTCAACCTAATCAATACAGCAGGACTAGGATATGTAAACGAGCAGGATATTGAGGAATTACTGCAGGTTTCTGGCAAGAGCCTTACCAACGATGACCTTCAAGAACTGGCAGAAAAGGAATTCACGTAGAACTAAAAAATAGTGATTCTGAAAATGAAGAACCCAAAGAATTTCTCTACAGATTTCCTTAGTAAAAGTTTGGTAACAATAACCAGAATCGTTGATCAAATTGTAGCAAATGATCCAGGTTTTGAAAGGAGTACAAAAGCAAGACAAGGCATTTTGGGTGTAATATCTTGCTACCGAAATTTGCTTAAAGCAGGGGGGTCACCATACTTTTTTCACAGCAAGCCAGATAACCAAGAGAATGACACGCACAGGCTGCATAACCATTTTGTTCAACCCAGTACAGTGAATACAAAAAAAATAAAAACAACAACATATTTATTTACCAATACACAAACACGATCACTGCAGCAAGCTCATAATCTCTTTTCTTATAAACTTCATTACAGTACAGTAGAGCATCGATTATCCGGCCCCCAATTAACCGTCACATCGGTTAACCGACCTTTCTAGTCGGCAAATTTCAAATGTCCGCTAGTGATGTGGCATTACAATATTTGGCTATGTCTTGGCTACTTTAATATTATTTTTGTTAAAGTTTTGCATGTTTTAGCTAGCAACATCGCTCAACCATGAAAGGAAGGCCAGTATTTAAACGAGGCTTAATTTTCTAATTATGAGTGGTTGTTTGTTTTGTGAGCAATAAAATAATTTTGAAATAATTTTTAATGATACAATAGCGACGATTATTATTTTAAAAAAAATTTGTTAGGCTAAACATCGATGAAAATTCAATGCAAAGTTGTTAATAGCAATATATTAATAAACTAATTACATGGGATATACTAATATCCTAATATACTATACTAATAATGTATTTTTTCCCTTCTTTTCGGTTATCCGATTTTTTCAGTTATCTGACCAACCTGAGTCCCCAATTGAGTCGGATAATCGATGCTCTACTGTACTTGCACAAAAGAGCTCTGATATCCAAAGTTGCCAAATTTTTTATTTCACTTATTTCACCAAACTATGGCCCGCAGGCTGGATCTGGCCCACAAGGTCAGTTCATCTGGCCTGCCATTGCATTGTATCACAAATGAGACAAAATGTAATTATTTACATGAACCCTAAAAATTATTTACTGTCAGATGCAAAAATCAAATTGGACCACTTCTGGCATTTTTATTTACAGTTATTTTTATTTTTTCTACCTAGTAAGTTTACCTACAAACTATGATATTTCCATGTAAATAATTACATTTTATCTCATTTGTGACACAGTGTGATGGCAGGCCAGATGAACTAACCTTGTGGGCCAGCCCACCGGCCATAGGTGGTGACCCCTGGCATAAGGAAAGAAAAAGAAAGTGACAAATGACACTAGATGACTTCATTGCAAAAAGTCAAGAATTTCAGAAAAGCCAGGACCTTCATCACAAAAAACAAACTTTACATTTCTGTGTGCATATGTTTATGTTATTTAACATATATTATTATGCAAATTAATATAAAAATAATTTAAAATTATAGTAAAATATGTTTATTTTTGGTCACGTGTTCCCCTTTCCCTATTTTACTCTGTGTTAAAATGACCTCGTTTAATGCTGTTTCATTAAGTGGGATCTTACTGTGTTTCTGAAATTCTTTAATTTCTTTGGTAGGATGGCATGTGGCATTATCAATCTGAAAACATCAACATCACTTCTGCTGTTAGGACTCATTAAGAATACACATATTTCCAGATTCAATAGCTGACATGCAGCCTTAAATCATTAAACATGTTGGTATTCAGGCAGTCTTCTTTAAATTTCTCATCTGCACCAAATGAATTTTCTTGCATCATACCACACCCAATGCATATACAATGCTCATCTGAAAAAAATAACCTTTTTTGCAGTCTTCTACAGTCTAATTTTTGTACTGTTTTGCCCACTTTAAACAATTGTTTTTTTTTTTTGTTTCTTGGTCAGAAAGCACTTTGAAAATGAATATCTCATGTCATTCAGTCTATCTCTTACAGTTTTATCACAGATACTTGTTTTATTTTTCTTCCATTTTACATTTAATTGTTTGGAAGATATTTTTAAATTTTTTAAACATATTTTTTTCAATAGGCAATCTTAAGCCTTGTTTTATGACACAGGAAACACCTATGTATCTCCTGTGTCATTAAACTTTTTTCAAGTGTAATTTACACTTCCTAATGACACAATAATGCACATTGCAACTTTTCTTTGGTTTTTTCCATCTTGTAGCAGCTTTGTAATTTGTTTTCTCACATCATTACATAAATTCCAGAGGCAGGGGGTCATAAAAAGTGATAGAAGCACTGCTTCCCGTGCATCGTATCTTTATAATTTGTTGAAAATTAAATTATTTCATTACTCAATTTCAAATAAATTTCTTCTGAGGAAAGGAGTCCTGGCTGCCCCATTGTGGGCCTAGCCAAACCCATAATAAGATTGCCTACAAAAAAGGCCATCTTAGTGCCCACAGGGTGGCAAGAGTTAAAAAAAAAGTCCTTTACTGGTTAGGTGCTTCTACTAGTTTTAAACCCAGGCTTTGCAAATGCTAAATTCTTTGATTGGGACCATTGTTTAAGCAAAAACAAGTAAAATATCAGTTTACTTAGATAATGATACAAACATACCACTTAAAGCTAATGGTTTCCTCCATTCAAATTAGAATACTCAAATGTGTAAATTTAGAACAGTGTTCAAATACTTTTCTGCAACTACCTGTATGTTCAAAAACTTTTTCCAATACTGCTTTATGTGGGAAAATTGTTTCGACTGCCATATCAAAGTGCAAGGCAGTAACAGATGTTGTGCATTCCATTAGGCAGAGAAACTGTGAAAGTTGAATAGGTAATTTTGAAAACCCACCAAAGTGACTTGTAAGTGGCTATGCAGTAGTCAAACGCAAAATGGCTTCTCCACAAGAGCAGGCGCAAGTTGTGTGGTGGTACGTTGAAACAAATTCCATGATTCCAGCAGGACGGTGCCCCTCCACATTGGAGCCTGCATGTTTGACATTTCCTCGACAAACAATTTCCGATTATTGGATTGGGAGCGGAGGACCGATACCGTGGCCTCCTCGATCGCCGGATATTATGCCTTTAGACTTTTTCTTTTGGGGATTTGTCAAGGACAAAGTTTTGACCAAGTCAAGACCAAGAATTTTGACCAATGTCAAAATTCTTGGTCCGCAGCAACAGTATCGGTCACAGAATTTTGACCAATGTCAAAATTCGTGGCTTTCGACATTTTCATGTGCACATTCACGATACTGTTTCTGCCGTCATGCCTGAGATGCTTGAAAGAACCGGGCAGGAAATGGAATATAGACTTGATGTTCTACATGCAACAAAAGGAGCTCATGTAAAGGTTCACTGATTTTTTTAATAAAACTTTTTGAGTTTTTCATCATAAAATATGCATTACTTTACATCCTTCCTGAGTGGTAGATTTTTTACAACAGTTTCAAATGTGTCAGGTTCATGGTGGATACCCTGTATACATATACACATACAATCTCTAAAAAAAAGTAAAAATGATGAACACATTTATATTGTGAGGCCAGGACCACACACTCCCCCTCGGACGGAAACCGGCTGTCGAGCTAAAGTCAATATATCGGTGACTTATTACGTAAATAGGACCGGTGTGACCAAGGAACGGGGTGCAAGACGATTTAATTGTCGCATTCCAGCCCTAATTGACAGATTCACAGTCGTCAATCGTGAGAACGATCGAGGGATCGACCGTCGGGGAACTTTGGACGGTCACCTTACATCGAGTTCAAAGCAGGTCCTGCTGACACTCCTGTGGAGAGGGCGGCGGCTGAGACAGCGTCCTCCTCTCCGGGACCGAAAAATAGACATTAGGTGACAATTTACGAGACCGTCATCCGGGAGAGGGCTNTCCAATTTTTAAACCATTGTATTGCTTGCGTTCTATTTTACATTCTTTTTTGTTTTAAAGTGGCTTAACTGAAGAAGACTATTAAAAATAGTCAAAAACATTATTATTTTTATTAAATATTTCGTTGCTGGAAATACTAAGGTATTTGGTTATTTTAAGTATTTATATTCCAGTAAGTTATTTGTTTTATTGAATTTTCAATAGTTGAAGTTGAAACAAAATTACAACTTTTTTGAATATAATTTTGTAGCATCCAAAATGGGAAACATCAAATTTCTTATTTTGTTCAATTGATTTTACGAGATCTTTTACAATAAGTTTTTATAATTAAGTTTCAAATTTCAAATAACTCTTTGATCAAGCAATTGAAGAAGTTCCATTACATTTGAAGTAATGAAATTAATTCAATAGCTTTTCAATTTTCTACTCATATGTGAGCAATACAATTATCAATAATAAAAGCTACTTTCTTTTCTGATGCAAAATTATTGTCTATCTAATTAAGTGACATGCTTTCAACAGCATGTTCTGAGATGCAGGGTACAAGTTATACAAAAAAAATAATGGTATATAAAATTTTATATAATGTTTAATATTTAGTGATATTTTTAGATCTGAAAAAGCAGTCATCTATTGATTCCATTTCTTTACTAATATGAACTGAATGTGTCAAACAAGTTTTCAAAATGTAAAACACTTAAAATTGTTTGGGAATTTTTAGAATACATATAACACTTGCTATATTTGTTATAATTTTTAATAAATGTAAAATTAAAAACTAACAATGAAAAATAATTAAAAATAATATAATTAGAAAAAATATCTTACATTGTATGTGCCAGGCTCTCCAAATAATATTATTCAGACGAATCTTATCTTTAAGTCGCAATTTTAACCCTTTGAAAGTTTTCCATCTTGGAGAAGTCAATTTTCCACTGAAGTTTTTAAATAAAATTAAGATTATTACATACAACATAATAATAGTTATATTAAAGCATTATTGAATATAAAATATTACAAAAATCATTAGGAATTCTGATAAAATATATTATTATTATTATTATTATTATATTCAATATAAGAAAATAATTTGGAATTTGAACAACATGAAATTAAAATTGTTATATTAAGTAAATTCTAAAATAAATAATACAACAATCTTATTTTTAGTGACTTAAAAAATAGGTGGAATTGGTAATTTTTATCTAATTTCTCTGTCTTCAATAAATGTTTGAAAATATCCTATTAATTTCAAATTTCAATCTCAAAATTTGATCAGGCATATTTTAATAGCTACAAGAATTTCAGTTATTGATATAAATTTATTTTATTATACGTAAATATATAATATAAATTACCATATATTTAATTTATAAGCAATGTATTGTGAAAATTCTCCCAATCTAAGCATTTATTCAATAAATATCTTGAATAAAAAGTGGAAATCAACTCTCCTAATGATATATAGTGTATATATATATATATATATATGATGTGTGTGTATGTGTACATGTACTTGTGTAGTATTTGTGTGATTTGTGTGTGTGCATACATATAAAAAAAAAGAAGCTAAGGAAAAAAATTAATGGCATTGTAAAGAACAAACAATAGTGACTCATTAAAGAAAACAGCATTAGAATTTGGTATCAGGCCAACAATAGTCAGAGATTGCAAGATCTGTTAGAAAAACACTGTTCATCAAAATAAAATTATTTTAAAAATAGACTATTCCAAAATTATTGCAAAGCATTGATGATGATAAATAATAATTCTTTTCAATATATTGCAAATCAATTTAAAGAATACCGGAGAATATC